GGTGATACTCGACAGCCACGTTCTAATGCCTGCCGTTTGAATGGTGCCTGGCGCGTGCAATGCCGGGACACGGCAATTACCAGCCGTGTGATTAGAACGTTAAGAAGTTCGAAGTCTTAGGGACGTGAATTGGCGTGTTTGCACGGGAGGGGAAATAGTATGTTGCGAGAAATTTACATACAATTTGCTGCGAGTGTTGTTGCTGCTGGGGAAGGAGTCGCCATTATCTCAAAGGCTTATCTCAATCTTTCAAAGTGATAATCGGCAAATATTATTATAGTGTTCTGTTGTTTTATTTTTTATTTATTGTTGGTCGGGGAGTAATATTAGATTAGAATAGAATAATAGAATAGAAGAGGATGACAATACGTATACAATGGCGGACGTACGATTAGGTACAGTTTGTACGGAAGGTTTGTAAGGAATGTGATGTAAGGTTGAAAGTATTGTTAATTGCTGTAAGCGAAAGGTATACTACGCGTTATATTTAAAAAAAATGTGCATTTTACAGAATATAAGAAATAGATGTCAGAGGAGACGTATAATAGCCGCATCATTAAAGACAAATGATTTCACGCGCACGCACAATATAAAAGATAATATACATATGAATACCACAGCGATGTTTATGAATATATATGGAGCTTAATAAAGATTGTAATTTGAAGTGTAACTTTTTATTCAATCATTTTATGCAATGTGCAATTGTTGCGCGATATGCATAAAATACTTATTAACGTATGACTGTCGAAGCAGCTGAACAACTCGATTAAACAACTACGCAGCACGATTAAAAACATGCAGAAGAATGCGCGCAATAATATGAATTAATTCAAAAACACTACATAAAAATGTACACGCAATAACTGGCATAAATAACAATCACCAATATAAACTCATCGTTCATAGTTCTCATATTCGCCCTTAAACCCCTGAGTCCTTTCTCGTCGAAGTAATCATACGATAACTTTCCACTAATTAACGTTTGGTTGCGTTTATCAAGAAATCTAATTAACACAACAGCCGTTAAATCATTTCTCTTGATTATCCGCGGGTTATAAATTATCGTATTGTAGGTATAACCCTCAGAATACTCACGTAATTAACATTCAGAGGCGCTGGAAATGGAAGTACAAACTAAAAGAAAGGAACGAAAGAAAAAAAAAAAAAAAAGAAGGAACGACTTTATGAGATTAATTTAGCTCGTTGAAATGAATTTTTGAAAAGGTTCGTCTACCAGTGAGCTTAAATAGCTGGATATTCATAGATCGTTGCAACGCGAAACACTGATGTAGTTTCTCCTTCTTCTTTTTTTCTCTCCTTTCCTTTTCCCTTTTTTTTTTTTTTTTTTATTTTCCACCGTAATCACTTTCATCGAAAATGCGGCGAGTTGGAGTGCGAAAGTTTTACGTTGCCCCTAACACGAGGCAATCCTGCCGATCCTCATTGCCTTCCAACGCTGGGCATCTAATAAATATTAACAAGAACCACGACGAGATGGTAATCCGCAAAAGTTTTTCTTTGTGGATAGACTGCCAAGGGGATGTAACATGGCGCGGCGGGACGAGGATTCGGTTAGGGAAAGGGTAGCGACTCGGCAAGGAGTAGTTGAGCGAAGCGAAGAAAGACGACCGGATAATTCAGACAAGAGGGCGCACAATGAAAATTTGACAATGTAAATTATCCTGTTATTCTTCTTCTTTTATTAACTCGCTTCCGTCTTCTAGGTACCTATCCGCGGAAGTTGCCGCGAAGAACTTTTGAAACGCTATTCCACATCGCCTGAGTGAATAGGAAGCTGTTGCCAACTGTTCTAATATCTGTTGCACACGCTAAGAGAAAAATCCCCGCAATTAACACGTTTCTCCGAATTGTGTGAACTTTGTGATATACCGTGCCTCGAATCTTTACTTTACAAGCGGATTTACGATATATTTTCTGTGACTTGAGGATGAAAATAATTCGTGGAACTAGATTTAAGCTTGATGATATGACACCGGAATTCGATTAATTTAATGAGATGGAACCTAGAACAGAAGCTTTCACATCTTTTTTTATAGATACAAACATGCTGCATTTAAACATGTTTATAACCAATTAAACATATCGTGCATTAGAATATTTTACATCAAAGGAAACAACTAATTCAAACTCGTTTCAATGAATAATCGTTATCTTAACTCACATTACCATACCTTTCAGGTCCACTAAATGTTTTCACCGAGCCCAGAATATTTCTCGTCGTTCATATTCAATGGGCTTCGAGTGGCTCGCTTCATCGTATCGTTTTCACTCGGCTGGTCATAAAACGCGACATTAATTCCGCGCGAGCTTCTTATTTTCTCGCCAGCTTTTCATACATTTCTTCCAGGATGGAAGAACGATCACAGCCACGAGATCTTCTCGTGTTTTTACGAGCCGAAGCTCTGCCATCGTCCATTCCCCTTCGCCATCGTATCATCCTCCCGACAGTTCTACATTCGTTATCTTCTCGTTGCTTTTTGGACGGTTATCGTTCGCGAAAACGAAACCCCTTCTCGCGGGATCTTGCAAAAGTTAATTCGTTCAACCTTGTCATTGTACTCGGATAATTTTAACAGATCGTCGATTGAAAACTAACCGCTTGGCCCTACATTAGGCGGTCGAAAATCAGTGCTTTCGATACGCCGTAGGTCGCAGGGGGAAAGGCGTGCTTGAGCTGAACGGAGCAACGCAGGGCCAGGGCTATTCTAAGGGCTCGAGATTACAAGGCATTGTTCCCGCGCCACCCTTTGTCTCAAATTTACCCTTCCTCGACCAACCTCCACCACCTTTTTCAACCCCCGTTCGCCGCCTATCTCGTTCTTCTTTGTATTTTTAATTCGCAACTTTGTAACCAGCCCCGTCTCTCTCCTACGCCGAACGTCTCGCCTGCTACCGTCCTTCCTTTTTCGCCTGGCTTTTCCCGGACCCTAACGTTCCGTTTCTACTGGCCGACCCTCGATCCAATCCATGGGTGTCGTCGTCGTCGTCGACCTTCGTCAACGATTATTTCTCCGAGGAAATCTGGCCCTCCACGGTTGGGAAACCGTTTTGCATTTATTCGCTCGCTGGAATAACGTTGAACTGGGAGTTTACATTGGCCGTGAATGTACCAATGTAATTTTAAAGCGATTCTGGCAAGGCTGCGGAGAGATATCCGGTTACGCGGATCGTTAGACAAAGTTTGTCAAAGCAACGTGAAATGGTAATTTCGAGTTAAAATATGAAATATATTAACGTATATCATGATACAATATATTAACATACGATAACGAAGCAAAATCGGAATGTTTAATCAGACCGTGATCAAGGTGGAAGAAGTTCGTACGTTATCCAAGATAATTCCTTGATATTTTAATAGAAATCTAGAAGACCTTCCTCGCAGAAAAATTACACAATATAAGAATAGTTTGTGTGAAATCGTCAGCACCTTCTTTGACACGTAACAAGGCGATCACGAGACGTTATCTCATTTCAGCGATTCGTTAACGAAAATCGTAGCAGAATATTGATTAAACGCAATAATGTAAGAAGAAGAGGTTTCACTTTTCACAAGCTTCGCCACAGTATATCAAATAACATCAAATTTAGTCATCGCAGACCTCAAACTCGCTAAAATCTGTACCACTTACAACCGCAAATCTTTTTTTTTTTTTCTTTAAGAATCTCAATCAATACTTCAGCCTAATATATAAATAACGCCTAAGTGACAATGATAGGCCTTCTTTTTATCGAAGCGTAATGTTGCTCCGAGCAAAGAAAAGAACGGTAACGGACAACGTAGACACAGTGTCGTGAAATCCGCTGCATAATTGTAAGACCATAATACCGAAGGACGAACGGGTTTACACGGTAGACGGGATTTCTGTAGTTCGCTAAGGAACGGCGAAAACCCATTATAGATAACGAGAGCCAGAAAGAGAGACAAAGTCGAGTGGTGGGGTAGTGCACGAAGTGAAATCGAGGTGCTGGTGTACGAAAAGGCCCGATACGCCTCCTCCAAGGATTTGCGAAACGATTCCCCGCTACGACTTTGAAGTCGTTCGCCGCTAAAAGACAGAGGCAGGGAGAGAGAGAGAGAGAGAGAGAGAGAGAGAGAGAGAGAGAGAGAGAGAGAGAGAGAGAGAGAGAGAGAGAGAGAGAGAGAGAGAGAGAGAGAGAGAGAGAGAGAGAGAGAGAGAGAGAGAGAGAGAGAGAGAGAGAGAGAGAGAGAGAGAGAGAGAGAGAGAGAGAGAGAGAGAGAGAGAGAGAGAGAGAGAGAGAGGAAGGGATAGAGGAAAGGCTCCGTAGTCGTCGCTTGCATCTCTCCGGCCATCGCCGCCAGTAAAATGACATCTCCGAAGGAGGAAAGTAGAGTGGATATCCGGTGTGCTCCATGCAATTGGAAACTTTTAGTAAATGTAAACCGTTTCGTGCTCGAGTAGATACAATCCGGTGCTAACCCAGTATCCGCTACCCTCCTGCTCCCTTTAGCCTCGCTTTTAAATCTCTCTTTTGCTCCTTCTTTCTTACCTATCCACGCGAGACCGAACGACACCTAGCCCAGCTGTGCACGTTCAGAGAGATGCACACAAGTCGTCTGACCGGATCGGAACTTGTGTTTCTCCCTCATCGATGAACCCTCTATCGGTTGGTCGATGCATCAGGCGAGGGGATACAGAAACGGGACTAAAAGGGAAATTGTAAAGTACGTCGCTTAGAAATTCGCGAACGGGCGAGAAGAACGGGAAAACGAGGAAAGAGAAAGAATGGTGCTTGGCTCGGTACAATTCGCCTCGCCACGTTCACCGGTTCCACGATCCATAGTCTCGATAGTCCGATTAAAACCGACTCTAAAATCCCGTCCCAACCTACCGAACCTATTGCGCCGCTGCTATTCCGTTTTATTGTTCGACGTACCATATGCATAGCAATAACTATGTCCGCCCCTACCGATATCGAGTAGCTCTCGCGTTTCGCCACGTTTCAACTTTACTTACCTTTCGCTGTTGCTGACTCCTTACGATCTTCGAATTTCCATAGTTTCTCGAGAGTGTCGCGGTTTCACGCTGTTTACATCTTTTTCGATCCCTCTCGTCGTTTTACGATTTGTTTTTGTTCCTCGTCCTCTCGTTTGTGCTTTTTGCTTTAGACTTCTTTTAGTAGCTTCCGATGTCCTGGGATCTGTAATTGAACGTTACTTACAGGATTATTAAGCTTCCACGTTTTTACGGTTCTTACAGCGCGACCGATTGAAAATCGTGCTGATGCGTCAGTCGAGATTCTGACAATCTGAATTTAGTCAATATAAAAATCTAAATTTGTGTGTACTACGAAAGAAATGATTTTCAATAAACGGAAAAATTTAAAAAAAAATATATTTCTATTACTATATTTTGTTACAACGTTTCCATAAAAATGGCAAACAAAATTTCCATTTAGTTTCCAAAACTTGACGAAGATCGTACACATAATAAGAGAAAATATTATCTGTAAAGCACCTGCAACAAATGGCAGTAGTATTTCAAAAATAATATCCATCATAATTCTATGAAACGTATATTCAAGAATTCCGTATAAACAGAATATTTCACGCTAAGAAACACAATTCCGATGAAATAGGCCATTTCGAGGCAACTATCCGTCACTATAAACCAAAGTAGCCACGGAATCGTCTCGGTGCCTCGCACTGCCTACTACCGACGACGAAACGAAGAAGCGAGATTGAAAGTGATTAAGACCGGGTGGTGGGTGGCCGGAACTACTGTGCGTGCATGCAAACGCAGCATAGTAGGTCACAGTGACGTTAAAGGGTTATCAAATAGCCGTAGTATAAAGCGTTTGGGCGGCGAAAGGGCGAAGGGTGAGTCGGAGCCGCATCGTATTGGCATACGGATGCTTAGAGTTGGGCCTGTGAACACGTGTAGCCGAGCTGCACATCGCTAGCTGTCTGACAGTTTGGCATGTTGCCTTCCACCACCACTAGTACCGGCTCCGCCACCGGCATCGCCATCACCAGTATCAGGGACGCTGCGTATCGGCTAGTTGTCCTCGTGTCGACACGCGACACGTTACCATGCTTCCACATGTATGCACACGCAGGTGTTTAACGCCACGGGAAATCCGTCAATCGGTAACATAGTATCTCGATGCCACCTGTAAGTGTATGAAGAGTATACAAAGAGCGCTGTGGTCCGCTCAAAACCTCGGAATATCACGCTGTTGTAGCGTCAGGTTGTATTTTCTCTATGAATTCGGCTATTTTATGGGACTTGGGACGATGGTATGTGGAAAACGCTAGCGGACTAGCGACTGGGATGAATTCGATCATTGTTGTTGCATGAATGTTGGCTCGATCGTGTTCGTTTACATTCGATTTTTAGAAAAGTATAGTGGTAGGTATGTAGGAGGGCTGCTGGTGTATAACACAATGTGACGTGTTAGGGAATGATGAATGAAACGGTTTTGTTGCTCTTGCTTCATGGTTGTGGCAACTGGATTTTTGTTTTTGTAAAGATGCAAAACATTTTGGCAGATTTTGCGGAAAATAAAAGATTTTTGTTTATTTACAGGGCAAACGGCGCGACGCATAACGGTGCGTTTGTTTTATTTACGGATTGATGAATATCGTGACAGAGAAATATTTTTCCGAATAAATTGCGCGCGATTATCTGATAAAATATGAACGATATAAAAAAATATCAAAGCACGGAATGTCCATGGTATTAGGGTGCACGGCACGTATATATTCGTATTTTATTATATTTTACTTTCAAATTTTATTTGACAATACTTTGTCGTATTTATCCTCTTACTTCTGTTTAACTTTTTATTTGCCCTTTTCATGGAAAAAAATGTAACTCTCACAAAAGATAAAAATATAGAAAACGAGTAATATTTTAGATATTATTAAATACGATTTGGTTAACTGCAAGACGAGATAATTTGTTACAAGTCGAGTTTCGTGTAACGATATATTTCATCAGGTCAAAAGTGTCCGTGCGGCATTAATTTTGCGGACAAATAGGACAAATACATTTGAGTTCAGATGTTTCGATCGAATGTTATATTGTAACATTAAATTAAATTTGTTTAGATTAATAACATCGACTTGATGACATTATGATACTATAATAAAGATATCTAAATACGTATATGGTCATAGAAAAGGATAATCAGACAAGTACTTTTTATAATTATATTTTCAGTGCACATTCGTTTGCCTAGTGAATGTATGTATTTTGCATTTTTTACTTATTTTCATTATTTTTTATTTACTTCGCGTAGTTTGAATCTCTGTCGATTATTTACATCGGTCCAATCCGGAATTAGCCAAATTTGAATTATACTTGTCAAATCTCGATTTTCTCGAAAAACGGAGCCACAGATGAAACAATATTATGCCAAATTCCTTTCTTTTTATTTTTTCACGTAGAATCGCCCGCTTCCCGCTTGTTCTACGATCACTGCCCCATCCTCTGTACTTACCAACAATAGCCTTTTCATCCGATTTCTAAACGATACGAACTTCTAATACACGACAGCGCTGATATTGACTGATTATGCTTCACAAAATGAAGATACGCTGAAAACAGAACACCGAATAGTTGCACGTGGTGGCGTGGAACACCGGAATCCAGTGATCCGGGTTAAGAATTCTCGCACGTGACATCAGACTTAAACGGTCGTCCCTGAAAAGGAGTCGATGGTTTTCCAGATTCGAATGTCGCGATACTGTCCATGGCGGGTTCCTATGGGAAAATTATTCTCCGCGTCGCGCAGACCCGATATCGCAAGCCGCATGATATCTCCATAGCAGCGGATTTCTACGACGATTTCGCCTATTTGCAATAACAGTTCGCTTGCCGAAGAATGAAAACGCGACGTGTCGTCGGTCGCCAAGCGGAATAAGGAACATGGCGTTCACCGGTGGGACGTGCTCCGCGACTGGGATAACCTTTATTTCGCGCCGCCACTGTTACCGAATGGAAATTAGATCGACGTTTACGTATGAGACGTGTAAATCGATACTGCACAGATTTAAATAATGCAGCCGCGGGTAACAGCGTGTGTCGGGAGTCGATGCCAGGGAATTTCGAGAACCGTTTTCACGATAAATTCTGATTCGCGGACATGGAAAATAGGGTCTCTTCGCGGATACGAAAATGTAAAAGCGTAAGGAGATTGTTGCGGTAGATAGCGGGTATTGGAAGATCATCGCTCTATTTGTACGACGTAACTGATTTATGCAGTATTCGAATGCACGGAATCTTTTGCTGGTACATCTGCACATGTTTGTTTAGGAATAAAGTGTTTCGTGTGATTTTAAAAATATGAGCGAATATTTGTGATGCTGGATACTTCGATATGCTGGCGAGTGTGTTGAATGAACGAAGAAGATAAATGGATTGGGTAAATAAGATCGTAACACTCGTTAGAAAATGTTAGTACATTTGCGTGATTAGAACGGATGACTGAAGAAAGTTATGAGAAATTACGAATCGTTAATCAGTTTCGCGACAGTTTTATATATTTTGCATTTGATAAATCGCCGCGTATAATAACTATTGAGACACTTCTTTTTGCACTTTCACACCGCATTATTCCAGAGATAAATCAAACAAACGTACGTACACTGTTCCTATAAGCTAACAAGTTCAACAAACTTTAGACCGAATTACTCTGTCAACCTTGGCATAAATTTTGCAATTAGACAACATAATCGCGTTTAAAGAAACGATATTCGAATGGGAGCCACGAAGACATTTATTCAGCGAGGCACTACGCTTAATTTGTCGGCGAAGAAGAAACAGGCTAATTGGATTACACCGTAGCGCCGGAGCAGCGTTTTTACAACATTGGCCGGAATGAAGAATGCAAAAGGGAATGATGTACGTAGCTACGTCGGGTGGAAGTAAAAACGAGGGTGAAAAAAGAGTAGAGGGAGTGAGAGGACGTGAAGTAAATCCAGCGTAGCGTGGCATCACCGACCCAGGAACTACATGGACCGTGGTGGTCAACGTACCATAACATTATATCTATCCCATGTAGCCTATAGCTAGTATTTCTTTTGGACATGTGACTGGAAACCAACCCTTAGGTATCACCAGCAGCGCAGGACAATGTGCTCGACTTAGCCTGATCTTATTTTCCTCCCCGAGACACAACGGTAATTCCATATATGAAATCATATTTCCGAAGTCTCCCGACGTCACGGCATGTCTTGGGGCCTGGTCCGATTACTTTTCCCTTACAATGGACAATATGGTTCACACGTCGGATTATTTCAATAATATCGACGTGATTTTACGAATAATAATATCTCTTTATAAATAGATTCTGCAAAAATCTGCATGCATTGCGTAGAAAATAGAATAAATTTTCAAATCTATATGAACAAATGTCAGCGTTCTCGATGAAATGTTTCACATCGTTTAGGGGAAAGAAAAATGCATCGCATAAAATATACAGGTAATGTTCTCCAAGATATCACAAATATACTTCGAACAATGAGAATTGTTCTATTAGAAACAAATGTTTGAAAATTTCTCTTATTTTCGCCTCTCTCTCTCTCTCTCTCTCTCTTATACAATCTAACATAGATTGTTCCCTGCTTGAGAAAGGATAGAAATTAAAATAAGAACGGCGCGTGGATTCAAGCGTTGCCCCATCACCAGTTCCGTTTCCGGCAATTGTGCTTCGTTTCTTTCAATCGTCCGTTGTGCCCTGAACGTAGCGGTTGTACAAATGTTTCGTTTCGTTGGAACAAAGTATTTTTATTCGAACGGTATAGCGGTATAGACAGGTAAAGAGAAGCGTGGTGGAAGTACCTGAGAAAGTGGGGGATTTGCGTAGTTGAAGAGCGAAAAAGAGAACGGGAGAGCTTATCAAGAGCTTTAAGTTTTGCTCACAGAAGCAGTGAAGCAGGGGAGCACGGTCTCTGGCTTAATCCTGTATTGTAAACTAGACAGCATACAACGGCAAGTTTTCTACCTTGTGCCACTCACCTTCTATACTTGTTATTTCCTTTCTTTACCGCCCACCTTCCCAGAAGGGTGAAAGACATCATGGGTTAATCTGTCCTCTGGGAATAACTCGAAACACAGAACAAAAGCTTCCGTTCTTTTAGCTTTTCTCTCCCTCTCTTTCTTCCTTCTCGGCTCCACCGTTCTTTGAACATAATC